CCTCCACTGCTACCTCCCTGATCTGATCTATGATCATCTCTCTCAATTACTTAAAAAGGTTTTGGAGGGTTTTTTTTTTTTTTTGGTTTGGTTTGATTTTGGGTTTAGGTACCAAGGATTGAACTCAGGAGCACTCCACCACTGAGCCACATCCCCAGCCCTATTTTGTATTTTATTTAGAGACAGGATCTCACTGAGTTGCTTGGTGCCTTACTTTTGGTGAGACTGGCTTTGAACTCATGATCCTCCTGGCAAGGTTACCTTTGAACTTGCAATCCTCCTGCCTCAGCCTCCCAAGTTGCTGAGATTACAGGTGTGGGCCACTGGGCCTCGCTTATAGTTCTTTCAGTCCTTTTATGTCCCAGGGTCTTGAAACTGTTGACTATATACAATGTTTAATCCCCTGCCAGCCACAGTTCAACTTCTGTTCCTACCTTACCACCAACTCTCTCCCCTTAGTTAGGCAAAGATGCACCCTGACCGTCAGCGGTTTGTGTTTCCATCCTTGTCTTCTCTAATCTCTGAGCCACTGCACATCTGCCACGCACCTTGCTGCCACTGCACTGCTTCCTGCCCTCCCTGCTCATGTCTTATTGCAGCCACAGAAGACAAATCAGGCAGGACCGTCAAAGTGTCTCCACAGAGGTGTGATTTACCCATAAAGATGTTAAACTACCTTGACTTAACATGTAAAAAGTTAAAGAAGAGTGTTGTTTTTTTTTTTTTTAAACATGACTTTTGACCAGTTTTGTGGTGGTGAAATCAGTTCAGTGAATTGCAAATATTACTTCTGTTATGCTCACTAGAATTGAATAGGCAAAGGGCATCCATGTAGGAAAGCTTAGTGTTTTGTACCCATATGTGTTTATGTGTGTTCATTGGGTCATGAGGGCAAATGTATTTCTTATAAAAGATGTGGTCAGAGAAGTGGAAAGTGGATTTGGGTTTTCATGTCGTCAACTTCTTTATTCTAAAGAATGGAATCTAAATTTTAATTTTAAAAAGTTCAATGGGCCTTTTGATTATGAAGAGATAAAGAATAGTCTTTACCCTAAAACAAGAATTCTGCTGTCGTTCCTTAAGCTACTGGTGAAAAGTCAGGTCACTTTGAAAAGTATTATTTTGCCTCAACAAAAATGACAAAGGTCTTTATGATCTGGTCTCTGCTGACCTCTCCAGCCTCATTTCCCCTCTTCCTACTTTGCAGTATGCACATGGCCACGCTGAGATTCCTTTGTCTCCTCTAATCATGAGGTTCTCTTTGGGCTCTAGCATCTTGAACATGATGGCCTGTTACCTTCCTCCCCTACCCAAAGATTCATTTGGCTCACTCCAGCCAAACTCCTTCTTATTGCAACTGAGTCATGGCTCTTTCTAGAAAACCTCCCTGGACTCCCAGCCTAGTTGTTATTGGAATCCTAAAGATGGGTTCCTGAGTAATTTATAAATCAGACTACACAGTGTTTTTCACCTTTTAATTATGGCATCATAGCCCTCTGAGTATTTTTATATTTTTTCACCTAATTTCCCCTCCATCTCCCCACTGAAAAATTAATACCACAGATATGCGATATGTCAGTGTAGTACCATGACCCCTTTGAGGACAAACCATTATACTGCATCTAAGTTTATGTATTTTGTTCCATAAGAACCAGTTCTTGCCCCTTCAGGGCAATATCACTTCCACTGAACATGCAGGGAGTAGAATAAGAGAAAACTCCACTTGCACACTCGAGAGGCTAAGAAAAACAATAGCTGCCATTCCTCCCTGTTGCGTCAAACACTGTAGAGGTTCAGGGAGATAAGGATGACAGTATTGATTTAGGCTGTCATTGATCTACCCAAGGGCAGTTACTGGTGGAGCTGAAGTTAAATTGCAGTGGCTTGGAGATAATTAGCTACAGTGAGTGAGACACAAGGACTAGGAGGTTTTGTGTGGCTTTATAAAAAGATGGGAGATACCTGACTTTAGCCATGGGCATAGTGAAGAACTGGGGAACATCAAGAAAGGGAATAACTGGTTGAGCAAAAGCCCAGAGGGGAGGGAGGGACTCCTGAGTGGAGGTAAAAGTAGAAGGGGAAGTTTCTCACTGGTGTGCATAGAAGGCTTCAAGCAAAGCCACCTACGTGGGAAAGTGACACCAGGACACAAGAGAAACCCTGACGAGAAGAAGGAGTTTGGAATCTCTACTTCAGAGAAAGAGGAGAAGCTGACCAAAGTACCAGAGGATGGCCAAGAAACATCAAGGGTCAGCTAAATAGAAATAACCAAAAAGTTGTAGCAGTTCGATCTTTTGTCTTTCAACAAATATCTTGCATGCCTACCATTTTCCAGATGCTCTTCGGTGCTGAGAATATCGCCATGAATCATACAGTTTCTGACCTCAAACTCCAGTTGTGTTTCCCAACTGGACTATAAATCCATAGATAAGATAATTTCAGATGTTAACAAATGGCAAAGATTGCACTGTATGTTCCAAAAGATTCATTACTCTCATAATTATATTCATTATTGTCTCTATAGTTTGATGTTCTTAAAAATCTTTCTGGCTGGAGGGAGACTAGCCAATTCTTAGAGATAGCAAAGGGCGTGACAAGGAGCCTGCCTTTGATAGATGAAGTACCCAATTCAGAGCCAGACCTCCTCTTTCTGGCCCATGCACCCCAGGAGGCAATATTCCTTTTCTTCAGTCATCCCAGGCCAGGTACTTGGGCTACAGGTGACCACACCCGTAGCATAGAGCCTGATGGAATCATTCAAATTAGCCAAGCCTACAATGCATCCCCTGACTTACCTCTCCCTCAAAAACCCTAACAAAGCCTCTGGCCCAAACCTTGCCCTTGCTTCTGACTCCAGCCTTCTGACTGCCCTGAGGTTTCCTTGCGCCCTGTGTGGTCTGCCTCCTGTCTCTAGGACCTGGGCATATAGTACACTTCATTGTCCTGGCCTTCTTCCATCTCCTCTTGTGGCTACCCCTCATCAAAGCATCTAATCAAAGAACTCATAACAAGAAGCTAGGGATTCTAATGTCTCCTTCAAGGGTACACAGCCCCAGTGACCTAACTTCCTCTAACTACATTCCACCCCTTAAATATTCCACCACCTTGCAATAGTGGCACCAGCTGGAGACCAAGACTTTTAGAGGACATTTAAGATCTAAACAATAACACATTTTTAAGGGAGAATTATATATACAATGTTGTATTCTCTTAGATTAAACCAGTAGGCCAATGATGTCATTTGTTCCATTATTGGTAATACCCAGTTTGATCATTTGTTAAGTCGGTGTCTGCCTGACTTACCCTTTAGAAAAAAGAAAAGGATTTCTTTTTGTATTTCATAAGTGACCTGTGATGTGATACTTTGGGACTATTCTCCCAATGATTTTGGCAGCCATTGATGATTCTTGCCCTAATCAAATATTACTGTAGTGGTTTCAAAATTAAACTATTTTATCTGGTTGACCAAAAAAAAAAAAAAAAACAACAACAACAACCAACAGAACAAAGATAAAGTGGGGGACTATGACAGGGTGACAGGAGGACTTCCATTGGAAATACTCTGCTTGCAGAGGTTACACTTGATCTGCTGCCTGAATGATAAGCAAGAAGCAACCTTGAGACAATCTGAAAGTGGAGTGGTCATAGCAAAGGGACTTGCAAAGAGCCCGAGGAAGTGACAAGGGTATTTAAGGGAGAGAAAGGTGGCAAGTGAGGCTGAAGGGTGAGGTAGGGGAGGAGGTCAGCAGGGACCAGATAGCAGGGGCCAGAGAATTCTTGAAGGCCATGGAAAGACTTTGGAAAGATTTTTTTTTTTTTTTTTTTTTTTTTAGCTTTAAAGCAAGATGACCTCTTGGAGGCTCTAGAACACATGGAGGATTACTAGCAGGGCACAAGATGGGGACTGTAAACTCTCAGAGAGATTCTATTTATATAAGCAAACACAGATCCCCTCAACTCTGTACTGGGGATTGAACCCAGGGGTGTTTTACCATTCAGCTACATTCAGCCCTTTTATTTTTATTTTGAGATAAGTTCCCACTGTTTGATGAGGGCCTCCCCAAATTGCTGAGGCCGACTTTGAATTTGGGAGCCTCCTGCCTCAGTTTTGGATTATAGTTGTGCACCATGGCAAATTTTGACTTTTAAAACAAGTACAAATAATAGCACATTATATGCTGCTCTGGACTTTTCTTTTTTGCTTAACTTGGAAATCCTTCTACAGCAGTGGATTAAGGTCTGTCTCCTTTTATGTTAAGAAAAGTTAACATAAAGAGTGTTCAGAAATTATATGTAATTTATTTTGGCCACTTAGTTATAACAGAGCAGCAACTAGATTGATCCTTATTTTTCTGGACTTTAATATAAAAAAGTTCAAATCTATGACACTTTTTTTCTCCCTTTTGGCTTTACACTCATCACTGATTTCCCATTCTATGCCCCTCTGCCCCTCCTTAAATTTAACACTTACATAGCTTAGTCAACTGATCTCATTTTTGGTGAATCAAATGTTTAAAAAAAAAAAAAAACCCAGATGATATGGCACACAGATGTCCCTTAAACACAAAAGAGTAAATGATGAAAGAAATTATGTGTAGTACTGAGGACTGAGAGTTTGAATACTTGAGGTGTGGGTGTGGGTGTGTGTGTGTGTGTGTGTGTGTGTGTGTGTGTGTGTGAATTTCTCCTTAATCATAGCTGCAGCCTTCTCTCCCCGGCTCTGGATTGGGTGGCTAGGGAGATGCAGTATTAGCTCATTTGATAAGATGACTGCTCATCTCTGGAATGTTCTAAGAAACCCTATCCCCTTCAATCACTGAAGTCCCCAAGGAGAAAGCACTCACCCAGATCTTTTTCAAATGCCCCTTTGGAGTCCCACTTTCTCTTGAAGTAAGCAAGGCAGACACATTTGCCAAGGATAGCTGAGACTTGACTGGGCAGCTTGTGCAGGCTGCTGTGTGGCTAAATGCAACTCGGAAACAAGCCCTATAAATAGCCCTTCATTGTCAGCGTGTGTGAAAAGACAAGAGTGAGTGTGCATGGTCTGATTCAGGCCTAATGAAGTGGTTTCCCTCTGGGCAGAGCTATAAACCCAGTAGCTGCTCTGTCTGGGAATCTAGTCAGAAGGCAACTGCAAGCGTTCACCACTCTCTGAAGGGAAGCTCTTCCATGCTGGCTTTGCCTCCACTATGGCAAAAATCATTTTGAGGCACCTCATAGAAACTCCAGTGCGTTACCAGGAGGAATTTGAAGCTCGGGGTTTGGAAGACTGCAGACTGGATCATGCTCTATATGCACTGCCTGGGCCAACCATCGTCGACCTGAGAAAAGTCAGAGCTGTGCCGCAATCTCTTCCAGTGGACTCAGCAACCACAGAGACGCCACCTCAAGAAGGCAAATCCCGCTTTCAAATTCTGCTGGACGTGGTCCAGTTCCTCCCCGAAGATATCATCATTCAGACCTTCGAGGGCTGGCTGCTGATTAAAGCTCAACATGGAACCAGAATGGATGAGCATGGTTTCATCTCACGAAGCTTCACCCGACAGTACAAACTGCCAGATGGCGTTGAAACCAAAGATTTGTCTGCCATCCTCTGTCATGATGGAATTCTGGTGGTGGAAGTAAAGGATCCGCTTGAGACTAAGTGAAACCTTATCGGTTCCTGTTCCTAGGATATGAAGAAGATGTTCTATGGATGGTACCACGGGAATTTTTGTGCTACCCACGTTTGAAATAATTTGCTATGACTTTTATGAAGATTAAAAATATATACATAGTTCCTGGTAGGTTGAAGATGTTTTTATTATTCTTATGCCGAAAGAGAAATTGTTAAATATGTTTGTGCAATTCAAACTGATACTATTCTTACAAGGAAAACATTGAACCTTTAGGAGACTGTACTTTGATACTAGAGAGGTCTCAGGATTGTTTCTTAATGACTCCAACAATGCTAGACAGGCTATGTTTTTATAATTCATGGCAAAAGAGTGTTCTCACTTAAGGAATCCTTTTCCATTTTGTGAAAATTTTTATACTGCTAAAAAGAGTTGTGATTCCCTTCACTTGATAAGCTTTTCTTTTCAGTGAATTTTAATTAAAGTGGAGTTTTATAAATATGGAGTGTGAAAGTTAAAATACAGCACTTGGAAATTGAGTGTGAAATTTATTTATGATTCATGATAGTTGTTACTGCCTTAAATATCAGTTGGAAAATCCAAATAAAAGTATTATTCTTAAAAATTTTCAGATATCTTATTTTTAAAAGTTCGAATATGTACCTTATTCATTTTTTTTTCTAAGCCAAATTGGATCCTATCTGGAGTTTTATTTTTTGAGTCGTGTATGGATACCTATAAAATACTAATAAGATAGATATTAACACATATTGTATTCTTATTAACTTTAGGCAAATATGTTCAGCTACTGAATTCAATATATTTTAAATCTTGCTATTAAGAATCAACTTAAAATTTTAGATTGTCGAAGACAGCACAGTGTAATGCATCTGTTATCTCTGTCTAATCCTTAGCTTTAAATAGCCTGGCAACTAGTGGAAGCCAGGACACCTGACCTTGCACCAAGCCTCTGAGTTTACACAGTGCCTCTGTTGATTGGTGCTTATGTTCTCCCTAACTGCTGCTTTGACTCAAGGTTGAGACCTTGGTAGAGAGTAAGAATTTGCATTAGGAATATTGGCTTCAGCAGCTGGCCTGTGACATTCCAAAGATTTGCTATCTCATTCTGTACATACTGAATATGTCTTCAGAGGAAGTAGCTGCTTTTCTTTTATTGGCACTGAATGTGAGCTGACAGTGAGCCTGAGGCTGGTGCTAAGAATAGAAGAGGAACGCAGGGTGTGGATGACACCAGGGTCAGTGCAGATGGCAGACAGTGCGGCTGTGCTTGTTCTCCCACATTGCTTCCTTTGTAGTTCAGGTTGAAAGGGAAAGACACGAAGCAAAAGAAAAATGAACCAAAAGTAATGAAAAAAAAAAATCTAAGAGGGATGTTTGTTGACTGTTCAATTAAATTGAAAGGGGTTTGAAGTGATAGGTTTATAGGAGCCTAATGCTATACACTGAGGTTTGTGCATCCAACTCTAGGATAAGAAATTTTGTTTAGACAAAGTGAATGTCACAGATTAGCTTTGCCACATAAGAAAGTCAACAGCAATCAACAGGACTCCAGACCTACCAATTAGGACAGGGATACCATGTGTCCCATATGAAATTATTACTATCTGGCATCAGAATAGTGTGACACAAACTAGTGCTTTTAGAAACAAACAACAGAAATATTCTTTCATTTTGTCTTGATCTTCCCCTGGATAAGATCCAATTTCTGGGGAATTTCAGGGAGTGAAATTCTTACCATGAGGAGAAATCAATAGGATATATTTCCTTTAAAAAATAAAATAAACACATCTCCAATTAGTATTTCCTTTTTCTAAGACAAATTTTAAAGGCACACAGAGCCATTTTTATTTATAAAATGTATCAAATATTATAGAAAATAAAAACCACTTATTCTTCTATGACCATGAGATAGCTATTTAAACTATCTAGTTCACCGTTCCTTAATCCTTTTTTTTGCAAAATTGGTATTTACATGAAGTCTAATGTCCTGATTGTACTGGTTATTGTCTGTTTCCCTCCCTACTCCCACCAAACCCAATCTCTGTCCCCTTCCCAGCCCCACTCCCAGCCCAACCAGACTGACACCAAGGGGCCATATAATTGAAGTTTGTGACTTGTTTTAGCCATTGAGAGGCACTGACTGGAGATGAGATTGGAGGGAGACTCCTGGGCAGGATAGGGGCATTTCTTCCTCTGTTCTCAACCTGCTGCAGACTGGGGCTCTGGCAGGGCTTTGTCCTTCCACAAACCGACTGCCCCAGGGCTCCAGTTCTTACTGGGCCCCAGCATAGATGGAACACTCTTTCTTTCTTTCAGTGGGAGGGGTAGCTTTCTGCTTTATTGTCACTGGTGCTGCACCATCTCTGTTGATTCCCCTTGCTCTGTCCATTCCCCCTTCATTGAAGTCCCTCCATGAATGGAATTTTGTTTCCTGCCAGAACCCTGATTGCTGACATCTTAAGTGATTAAAAAGAAGAAGAAGAAGGAGAAGGAGAAGAATAAGAAGAAAAAGAAGAAGGAGAAGGAGAAAATTAAAACTAATGCATCACTTTTTATTTTTTTAACTACCAAACACTGATTTGTAATGCTATTCACTATTCCAACATGGATAAATGGTATTATCATTTAACCATTCTTTATCACTCTTGGTCCCAACAGGAAACAGATGGCTCTCTCAAATGGAAAGAACTCAACAGGGTTCATTTATAAAGAGACTAATTACAAAGGCATGAGCAGAGCATAGAAGAGTTGTAAAGCTAAGGGTGGCAATGTGCAGTTGTGTCCCCTAGGGATCAGAGGAGGAAGGAGTCCTTAGAAATCAAGACCAGCTATGACTTTCATTTGAGGGATACAACTAGCCAAAGGTGACCTTTCCTGGGGAGGGAGTCAAGAAAATAAACACTTTCTCCCTCCAGCCTCCTACTAGGGCCCCCCCATTGGCTGAGCCTAACTGGTGGCCAGAGGGCGAAGAGCCTGGTTGATACAGTTCAGCAGCCTTCCAGGGCAGAGGGAAAGTGGAGGGTGACTCTGGGACCAGGGGGTAGGGGAAAATATCCAGCACCCCAATAAAACCAATCCTGTTGTCCTAGTTCGACCTTAGAAACCTTTTCTCCGAAGGAGACCTGAGACAGGATTGGAAGGCTGACATTTTACCTGGGAAGTGCAAGCCCAGGTGTGGAAATAGGGGAAATAAGGCAAGAAAAGTAAGAGAAGCCCAAAAAGCTAAATGAGTTTTGGCAAGGCTAGTGATTGACTCGGCACATGGAACTGCTCCAGGTGACTGCACTTCAGGCTGAAAAATCTTGGAGCAATCCACAGGGGAATTAAGAAGAGGGAATTTGTTCACCTGGTTCCCTACTGTATCCCATTTCCCATTAGTAAAGGTTTGGCTCACAGGGACTAGATGCTCCTGTGCTTCTGCGGTTTCCATCCAACCCCTCTGCAGCTGCTCAGGAAACCAGAGCCTCCCCTGTGACATTTCATCCAGGCCGAGAACAGAAGGATGACTCAGCATTGGCCAGACTCTGGGTGGGGAGTGCAGGTGTAGGGCTCAGACTTGGAGTCCTGCCACGCCAGGAAGCTTGGCAAAGGTGGCAGCAGCGTGTTCTGGGAAGCAGGTGAAACCTTAGGTGGCAGGTGAGAAGGTAGGCAGGGTTTGTATCCAAGACAACCTCACACGCAGAACTGCAGGAAGGTGATACTAGGTCAATAAGGCAGTCTAGTGGCAGCTGTTGCTGCTATACCCTCTGGTGCCTTCAAATTTGATGGTCCCCGATATCACCTTATATTTTGATCTAATTTTTAATCAACTTAGGTGCAAAGACAGTCTTAAACTTCTCCAGGATTTTTCATTTCCTGTAAATTATAGACCAAAGTCTGTTTGTGTGTGTGTCTCTATGTGTCTGCCCCTTGTTCTGGAAATACAAAAGTCAATGAAAAAATTTGAAGAGTTTGGTTCTCATTGGCCTCCCTTAGTCCAGACTGTACTGAGGTCTTGAACTTGTCCTTAACCTATTTCTTACCTGCTTGCCCTTTCAGGTAGGCCTAGCCCTGCGAATCTTGTACGGAAAACAAAGAAAACAAGAACCCTTCCAGCTAGCTCTCCTCATCCTCCTCTCTGCCTTCACAGCGGTGGGTCACACAGAACAAAGCTTGGCTAAAGTGCTTATTTTTACATAAAACAATTCCTGAAAGATGTCCATCTAGTCAAAAGTCACTATTAGGCATCAGTGACTACTGCATTTGGCAATTAAGTGCATTTAACAAGCACATGGCTACTTCTTAAAGAGTTGCCTTGGAGGTTTTTTCTGACTGGGTTTCCACTCTTTGCCTGTTTTATATAATTATGTCTGGACTATGTCTGTGTCACTGGGAAGATAGTACAGTGCATTAAAAAGCTGAGCAACTTCAATTGGAGTTCCCCAGATACCACTTGAAATGAATCATTGCTTTAACTAACCCTATTCAATTTCATACTAAACATAGAACTGACTGCTTCACAATAGGATACTGCTCAGCAAATAGTTACAAAATAACGTCTTGGCTTGATCCTTTGGGGAAGGCATGAGACTCTGACTATAAAGCAGGAAAATAGCCAAGATCAGGGCCTTAAACAATACTTTTTTCCTTAACTGATTCTCCTAAGCTTTTGGTGCAAGCATAGTCCCTTGTCCTTGAAATGGATTACTTACATGCATGGTTGTCACTGCTTACAATGCTCAGTGATGAGGAAGTGGGGTTGACAGCATCATCTGTTGTAATGGATCATGTATGGTCACTCTGTGAAGCAAGTAGTCATCTTGAACAAGTAGCCCCCCCACCAAAAAAAAAAAAAAAACAAAACAAAACAGAATTGGTGAATCAGGTTTTGTGTTTGTTCCTGATAATGTGATTATCTGAAAATTGCTGTTAATAGATTTTAGCATATCAAAAACTCATCTAAAAAAAAAAAAGCATACAACCTCAGGTTAGAGAAATCCCATTTTTCCTTAAGCTTAGCAAGAATCTGCTCTTCACTAATGATCATTGTTCTCTTTAGAGATTATCAAATAGTTGGAAAGTAGAATTAAAATGTGGGTTTGGTGTACAATTTAAAGTTTGTATATTACATTTTGAAAATAACTATTTGTTTTAGCAATTGAATGGGTCAAATATCCCCTTCCCTTATCTCCACAAAATAACAGATAGTATTTCAAATTTGAAGAACAAATGAAACCTATGGTTATGTTTACTATGTTGCTTAATAGACAAGTGTGTGTAAAAATATAGTCCTTTTTATTAATGTCTTCTAACCTCCAGGAAAAACATAAAGAACATTTAGTACAGTAAGACAAAATGGTCTGTATGAAACTATTCGTTGTAGTCTATCATTCAAATATTCGAAATTCTTCCAATTTTTTCCTTGATTGGCTAATAGAAACATATAGATTGGCATTTTAAAAATCTCTTCATATAAATGGGGAGTTTTATATTTTTTCTTTTGTATACTTCCAAGCTATGTTGTTATGTTTATAAATTTATGTAATTATGTTATTATAGATTTATATAATTATAAGCTTAAAATTAAAATTTCTCTCTATTGTTTTTATGTTATATAGGCCTACTCT